CAGAGGTATTCATGGAGACAAATACAGTACTAAAATTAATAATAGATATAGGAGTCCTATGTATCTTGAGTGGTTCTGGGAATGCAGTTGAAAAGGAACCAGATCAACAGCTAGCTGAACAATAGTGGAATTACATTTTAAATAAGGTCAGTGTAGGGGCAGCTACCTAAGAAGTCATTGTAATAGGTTTGAGACAATATGAAGATGATTTTTAATATCAAAACACAAATGTTTTTCATTTTTCTCACTGCAGAATGTGATTTTTCAATAACAAAATTGGACAGCCAATTCTGTTCATGCTTTGGAAAACTTGAGTGATGGTGTGCACTCTATTTCAATTCTGTCCTTATTCTCCATCACCACCCTTGCCTTTCTTTGCAGGAAATGAAATGAGTGAAAAGGTCCCCTCTGACCTTATGTCTGTGGATATAAGAGTGCAGGTTGCCAGCTTCATGGCTTTTCTTTGGTCCAACCTTGGGAGATTTTACAATTGCCAGTAAGCCTGAACCTCATGAGATCATGCCAGAAGAAAATCTTTACCAAAATCACACAAGATGTTATTGTTTCTCAAAGGTGTGATCTGGGGTGATCCTTATTTTGAGATAGACATCATTAAAGGATAATGAAATAATCATATATTAATAAAAATGGTTGAACCACTGTTTTAATTCTGCTTCTAGCTAAATGCTGGAAGCAAAACTTCCCAGGGCTAAAAAAAAAAAAAAACATGCCAAGTGTAAACAGTCTGTGGCAGGTCCCTGTGTTACTTCTTCAAGGAGCTGCCAACATATTTACCATCTAAATTCTTGCCTCCCCACCTTGACAAAAACAAAAACAAAACTGCTGCAGCAGAGAAGCAGATGTATACCCAGTCCAATCATAAGTTCTACATATTTTAGGAGGCAAAAGATCTCCATCAAAAAATAATTTTTAATAATCTTAATTGTAAGAAACTAACAATATTTCCAGATGCATCAGCTGTTACCTGCATCTTCCCAATTTATAGTAGCTGAACTACTGTTCTCATGAAGGTATTTCAGAAATACAATTCCACTTTCACAGAACTGCTGTACTTCAATTAAGTTTCTGTCCACTTAGCTTGACACGCTGATTTCATTAGGCCAACCAAGACAGGTTGAAATGTTTTGCTGTTTGTCCCACAGTGCAGAGATGCCTATTACTTTAATTTCTGCCAAACCATGGCAATTTCTGGTCAAGACAGTCCCAATTGAGAGGAATGAGCCCCTCAGTCACTGTCACTTTCAGTAGCCATGCTGTCGTCGTCTTTTAGGTCTGCAGGCTCCTCTCTCAAATCTGCAAAGAAGTCCTCCCCACTACCAAATGCTTTGCTACTCAGTGCTTTTAGTTGGCCACTTTTCTTCTTCTTCTTTCTGTAGTCATTCACAATCACTGAACGAAGAGAGGAGATGTCCCAGAACTTCACCTTCTGGTCATGGCCACAGCTAGCAAGGAACAGGCCAGTATGGCACTGAGCCAGCTGCTCAATAGGTTCCCCTACATGCTGCCCAATGCTGCCTATAACCCGGTTTGGCAAGATGTGTACTGCCCTGAAACAAGAAAAGAAGTCAGATCGATAAGCAGTCTTTGTCATGCTCATAAATTCTGCTGCAAAACGTTCATGTTCAAGGTGGAAAGAGAATCTCAGCCAGGTTTCTCACATTCTTTTTAATTACTTAGATAAATTCATGCCAAATGACTACAGTGGGCCCTTGGTATCTGCTGGGGTTTGGTTCCAAGACATTCCCATGGATATCAAAATCTGTGGATGCTCAAGTCCTGTTAAATACATTGGCACGATAAAATGGTGTCCCTTATATAAAATGGCAAAATCAAGGTTGGCTTTTTGGAATTTATATTTTTTAAGAAAAATTTCAAGCCATGGCTGCTTGAATCCATGGATAAAAAAATCCATGGATATGGGGGGCCAACTTAATTTTTTAAAAAAGATGCCTGTGTTAGTCTATTTCAGTATACAGGTACAGAGAAGGCATTTTGTGCCATTAGCACGTCCCCTTTTCTCTATATGTGGGAGTTGTATTAACAGATACTGTATAAACTATGTGTAAAACCATAATCAAGATACGAATGGAGCCAAAAAGGAAGAATACAAATGTTTAAAAATCTCAAAACGGGACTTTAGTTCCCAGGCAAGAAAAATGCCTAAATACTGTTATTTCTGCACTATTCACAGAAATCCATCAGATTGTTCTATATTTATTTGACCACATTAGCAGTTAAATTGGTCAGCTGCCAGTTCTCAGTGCTTAGACAATGGGTTCAAGCAACTAGGCACAGCTTTTCTTCGGAGAGTGTCTTCCATAGTCCTATTCAATATGTTATCACCTGCCGAAAGACGTATTTTGACTCTCACCATCTCCTACCAAGACAGAGCTCTTACTCCAACATTCCCAACTGTACACTTGAGTAGGATCTGCTTGCCTGCCTAATGTTAAACCAGACCCTTCTCTTGGAAGGCAACCCAAAGTGCTCTCACCTGATGACTCCGTCTGTTGAGCCTGTGCACACAATGCTCTCTGTTATAGGAACCATGCAGTCAATGGATTCTGCCTTCAGTGCAAAACGGTCACTGGTAGCACCAAAGCCATCCCAGTTGAAAAGGTAAATAGTCCCTTCACTGGAGCCACAAGCCACTTTCTTCCCCCTCTGACCAAGAGAAGATAGAGCTTTAATGAAAGAAAGTATAATCATCATCACTCCACTTCCCCTCCCTTTCAAGAGAGAGCCGACTGCCAAAGGCCTCTTCCCCATTAGGAACATTTTATTGCAGATCAGTTCAACACAGAATTCTTAGCAGGAGAATATTCAGATCTTTACTACCATTTGTGACAAGCCATCAAGGCCATGAGTTCCTAGCAAAATCCTACAGCAAGCAACCTTTTCTTAAGTACTGACCTTCATAAGAGAGACAGCTGTCAGCTCTCCATTCTGAGGCTCAGAAAGTAGCTCAAAACGCCTTCTCTTGATGTTGAAGACTCCCATTGTTCCATCTCCACTGCAAGAAATTGAAGACTACACAGTGCATGCATGTATTTATAGGAAAGTTATTTATTCCCATTTACAGTAGCACCAAGGCAGCATAATCACATCTGGCTGAAAGGTATTTCTAGGCAGATACAGTCAGCTCATCTTTCAAAGGCTTTGCCACCCATGGATTGGAGTATCCATGGGTGATCCCGCCCTGCTCTCCCCAATGGTGGCACATGCACATGGCCACACCAATGCGGTTGTGTGCACATTGCACCTCTATTGAGGACAGCAGGACTTGAGGTCCTGTGGAATTTGCTATCTGTGCAGGGGGACTGGAACAGATCCCTTGCAGATACAAAGAGCTGATTGTACTTATATTTCATGTCCAGGAGAGGGATAACAACAGGAATCTGTGTCAAGGGCTCTTGCAATGAAGAAAAAAATAGCACTGTTTGTGCCTGCACACCTGTGGCACATGCTCTTGACTTTCCATTGCAGAAACACATAAGGCACCATATTCCAGAGACTAAGGGGCAGCGTCATGCCGGATCAGGGCCATAGCAACCGCACGCCACGGCCCTGATCCGGCACTTTGCTGCTCCAAAAAGAGCTGGCAAATGCCGCTCCTTTTTGGAGAGGCAAAAAGCTGCCCTTGCCACGGTGGCGGCAACTTTTCTGCACGTCTTTGGTGCAGTGTGTGAATGCTGCGCCAAGGGAGTGCCCTGATGCTGCCCGTGGCATTGGGGCAGAGTCGGGGTGGTCGGCGTGCGGTTGCCACGTCCCGACTCCACCCCCAGACTAGCTCTTTTGGCCGGTCTGTACAGGGCCTAAGTCTATTTCCACATCTGGTTAACAGGCAAGTGCAGGAGTACCTGGTGGTGAGCAGCAGTTTCTTGTTTCCATCCACAGCCATATCACTGATGTACTCTTCATGCTGTTTTGCTTCCATGATGGAAGTCCCTTTGCGCAGGTCCCACACTTTTAGTTCCCCATTGTCATCTCCTGTAGCAAATAAGTGCTCATCTATCACCAGCAGACTGTTCAAAGCAGAGCTGTAGAAATTCCAGGGATTTAATAGTGGACAACATGCTTTTAGCCAGAATATTACAGAATAACTTAAAGCAATCAGGGAGGTAATAAGATCTCATACAGCCCTTCTACTCTTAGCACACTATGAAGAAGGGAAGCATCTGCAACTCCTATGAAGAGCAAATACAATAAATAACCAGATCTCATAAGCCTCTTCACATTATTGGTAGACTTGTGGAGAAATCATGTTTTCTTTTTTTTTTAAAGATGCTAAAATACACTTCAGCCATGCATGGCCCTTAACTAAGAACTCAAACACTCTTGCCATGTAGACTTCCCTTCCAGCTCTGGCATTCTGACTGCTAGAAGCTCCACCTACTGAACTTGATATCACTCAGATCATCACACCCTTCTCTACAGTTTTTTAATTTAAAAATTGGGAAAAAATAGAAACATATGCATAAATGGCAAAATATTATATATACAGTAGTATGAACTGAATTGTCCTGAACCACAAATAAAGATTTTTTGCTGAATTAATTTCTTGCAGAATCTACTCAAACATTCCATCACTTGTTTTTCCAAAGTGCTTTTGTTCAGTATTGTTTTCACCATGCTTTTGAATGGCAGCACTACACACCATTTGTGCTTTCCATCATTATGACATTTGTTGGTCATATTGCAGGAAATTTCACTTTTTATGCTCACTATTCAGGCCTCAATGAAAGTAGCAGTTATGATGCCAAAATAGCTGTTGGCTGCTTTGTGGAGTATGAGCAAACTGGTACTTCAAGATTCATTTCAATGGTGTTTTAGCAAACAAACAAAAGAAGTAAAGTATAATTGTTTCCTGAGAGAACTGCTTTATTATATATTTAAAAAAAAACATATTAAGGCAGAAATCTTACTGGACAAGATCAAAAATTTTCATACTTTGAGTTTAATACTAGACAGTTTAGAGAGCCAATGTGGTTTAATGGTTTGGATGTTGGATTAAGACTCTAGAGACCAGGGTTCAAATCCCCACTCCACCAAGAAACCCTCTATGGGCATGGCCCACTCTCTCAGACTCAGAGGAAGACAATGGCAAACCCCTTCTGAACAAATCTTGCCAAGAAACTCCCATGATAGATTCATCTTAGGACCAACATAATATGGAAACAACTTGAAGGCACACAACAACAACACAAATACTGCATAATAGTTTAACCTTTAATAAAAAAAATATGCTAGATAATTAGGGGAGATTTGCCTTTAAAGTTAGGAAGGAAAGCTTACCCACCCGACCTAAAATAACACTAGACAATAATTCCCCAGGAAGGAAGACCTCCGTTATCGCCTGGATTTGCTTTGGTAAATGTAATTGTTAATTTTATTGTTAATGTTAATTTTATTGTCTTATTGTATTGGTAATTTTAATGTTTGTTTTAAGAATTTTTATTGTAATTTTGTCATGTTTTTATTGCCATGTTTTAAACCTTTTTGTTTTATCTCTATTGTTGTACTCCCACCTCAATCCATTGGGAGAGGCGGGATATACAAATAAATATTATCATTATTATTATTATTATTATTATTATTATTATTATTATTATTAAAAGTCATACTAGATTTGAGACAGATTAAAAGTTTAAACGTTTAAAAGTTTCATATTAATTACCTTAATTAAATCCTGAGTAATAATATAATTTCTTTATATTCTGCCTTTTTCCTAAGATCCTAAGTGTTCTAACTTCAACATTCAACAATCTTAACTGATTGGAAAGGTATCTGTTCTGAAAATACATATTGTATTGTTATAATACGATGGTGGGACTAGAGTTCCCAGGTGTCTATAAGAAAATAATGGTTATCAAAATCAACCAAAATTTGTAGTCTTTCTGGCCCTAAGAAAAATATACCTATTTTAAAAATATGAATAGCCAGTTTAGGACTCTGTTTCTCAGTGGAAATTATAACAATGATATATCATCAGGCACTTCTGCAGACTCAAGTGTACTAACAACTGATTGTTCAAGAATTAGACAGAAAAAGAAAGAGAGAATGTATTAGGAGTGGAAAACATGGCTATTCAGTAATTGCCATGCCATCAAGACTGAAGAATGGTGGGAAAGCAGTCCCAGGTGCTTACTTATGTGCTTTGGAGAAACGTGTCACAAGACGACCCTCCTCAATGTTCAGGATATTAATGGATTTATCTTTGGACACCGTGTAGAGCTCTAGAGGGCAAGGGGAAAATGACATATGTCACCATGTATGACTAAAACTTCACAGGGCGCATTTGCGTTTACATGAAACTATAAAAATGAACTAAGTTCAGCATTAGCAGATGAACAAGTCATTCCAAGTCATACCCATGCTTATTTTTGAGTACATTAAAAATGCAATGGATTTATTGTACATTTGTGGGCAGATGTTATGGTCTGATGTCTGATTAGAGTTGTAGTTTGCAAAATTTATGGCCTAGAAACCTGACTTCTTGTGTTTTTTTTGTAAAGTATAAAGTTATAACACATAAATGTTTGTGTAAAACCTAGGGCATAGGTGCTGACTGACCAGGTGAGAAGCTAACCTAACTAAACAAAATTAGAGAGAGAAAGAAATGGCCTTAAAGAAAAACATAAACAGTGGATTGACTTGGAGTGAACTTGACTACAGAGGTATCAGATGGCTGATTTAATCAGATGGAAGATTGCAAGGATCCACTGACTTCCAAGTGTTACATCACAATAAAATCCCTGATCCGACTAGATGACCCTCTCATCTGAGAGAGAGACAAATTAACATTGTTTATATTGGCAAAAGCTAGTAATGATCTATTTCTGATGGAGAGAGACTGGAGTTACTATAAACCCAACTGCAAAGAGACAGAAGGGAGGCTGACTGAGGACCAGCCTTCCGCATGCCAAGATTAATGTACAACAATACAATGATTAAATGTTGCAGTGTTCAGTATCCTGTTGTCACCTCAAAATGCAACATGTTGCAGGTCACATTGTTATTTGTAACACACTATCCTCTGTCTAACTTAGAAGTAAATGCTACTGTGTGTAATTACTCTCCAAAAGTAAGCACTGTGTGCTAGCCTTAATATTTTTACTCCAGAAAGATGCATTTCCAGTGAATCCAACTCCAGTGTATTACATAATTGGATACAAGCCCTGGGGAAAGACTAACTCACTGTAGCCATCATGGGAAAAGGACACTTCCCGGCAGGATTTCAAGTGATGTCCTGAAGACCAAAGCTCCTTGTTCCCACCTTCCACACAGGAGTATGAATACCTGAAATTTTAAAAAGGGAGGAACTTATCACATACTTAGATATGAAAATTGTTGCAGGAGAGAAGTAAAAAACAAACAAAAAACAGAATTGTTGAAGTCAGGCAAGAGATGTGCTAAAAAGACATTTCAATCTGAGGTATGGCACACAATATGTCTACCCTCCTCCATCCCAAGTTCTGTAGCCATGAAAACTATTGACTGCTTTCACACACTGCTTGTGGATGCCCTGAGACACCTATCTGGTCATACCTCCAGGAGCTATGATATCCGAAACAATTAAAGGACCCTAGATTAGATCAGGTATAGAAAACATTTGGGGGACTGGAAGCCACACTGGCCCCTATAGAATCTTTTGACTGCCATAACAAGGCTTGTGAATGGACAAGAGGAAGTTCACACCCACTTCCTACTCCCAGCAATCCAGATCAGGGTAACGGGAGGAGATACTAGGTTAAAGCTGCCTCCCTCTTCTTGTGATCCTGTTCAACATCACTGTTTTCCCACTAATAATAACAGACCAACAGTGATCTTGATCTGGATTACAGCAGTGGGAACTAGGCGAGGAGGAAATGGGTCTGATCTATCATGACTACTCTTAACCAGAAGAACCAAAATCCTCTAAGTATTCCTATTAATATTTGTATTGTTTTCTTTACATCTCTTCATTGTGCTGCAGAATTTTATACTTTCCACCTTTTTAGTCAGCAATAGAGATTGTGAGAAAAAGAAGGCACCCTACAATAAAATCACATTGCTGAAATACTGACCAATCAGTATTATTGTAGAAGGCACCCTACAATAAAACCACATTGCTGAAATACTGACCAATCAGCTGTAGATAGGCAGATCCAAAATGACAGTGCAATTTTTTGGACTACAAATGGGGGAAAGGACAGCACTCATGCAACTGTGCAGTCAATACAAATGCAGTCAGATAAGCTATACTCACACATAGACATCACCGTCCACATCTCCAGCAGCTATTATATCCCGACAGGGGTGAAAGGCAATGGTGTTAGCAGCAGCTTCAAGGGATATATCTTCAGGGGTTTTTCGAAGTTTAGGTTCATGTTCAACTTCCTCCTCATCCAAACATGCCTAAGTGAGGAAGAAAACAAAAAAAGGATCAAAGCATCATAGAAGCAATACTATCCCAAACTCCTAGAGAAGTAATATGCATTATATTACATCAGTTGACATCCTTGGGGCTGGACCATACACACAATCCTCACAATATATGATGACAGACATGTGTGAGTCACCACAGATTTACCATACAGAACATTTACACCAAGATTATTATTCCGAGCTGTCACTCTTATGTATTTTCAGTACATCCCTGTCACAAATATAAAGTAAATGAAGTACAGAGAAAAGAGTTGATAGCTTTCCTAAAGTAAACCAACTCAGCAGGCCAGACCTCAGGCATGTGCAACGTGTGTGTGTGTGTGTGTGTGTCAAGTTGCCTGTCAACCTATGGCAACCCAATTAATTTAATGGGATTTTCTTACTTTAAAAAAAAAATCTAGAACCCTGAGAGAAGGGAGTTTGGCACAATAGGCTTACACTTAAAATTAAAGAATTCTGAGCTCAGAAATTTGTCCTGAGTAGTAAAATTTAATGTAGCTCACACTCCTTCCTAACAAAAGTAAATTCCTAGTCTCCTGAGCCTTATTCATTAGAGCATTTTAATTTATTGTGTGAGTGTGTCTTGTTGCTGACAGTCTCAATTGTTTAAAATCCTTGTTGATTTTCTGGATCACAAACCCTGTTGCTCAGCCATTACTAGTGTTATCTCAAAAGACATTAAACATTAGGAGGAACATTGGGACTGTCGTACTTCGGACACATGACTCTTTGGAAAAAACAATAATGCTAGGGAAAAAACAATAATGGAGGGAAGTAGGAAGAGAGAAAGGCCACATGCCAGATGGATAGACTCTATTAAGGAGGTCATGGGTATTAAGGGGTTGCTGGAATTAAGCAGAGCGGTGAAGGACAGAGGTTCCTGGAGATGTCTCATCCATAGGGTCGCCATGAGTCAAGATCGACTCGAGGGAGTTAACAAGAACAAGGAACATTAAACATTAGGAGGAACTTCCTGACAGTAAGAGCTGTATGACTGTGCAACACAATCCCTCTGACTATGCTGGAGTCTCCTTTTGAGGTTTTTAAATGACAGCTGGATGGCCATCTATCAGGGGTGCTTTGATTCTGTGTTCCTGCATGGCAGAACAGGGTTGGACTGGATGGCCCTTGGGGTCTATTCCAAATTATGAATCTAAGACTTCTGCTTCAGTGTAGCCTCCTCTGTGCTAATACACTAAAGGTTACAGACACAGCTTTAAACAGACTGAGCCAGAAAGTGAAATAAGTACCACTGCTAAGTGTGTTTCTTGATCAAAATTGTCACTGGCAAACTGTCTGCCTTTCTCTTCTTTCCAGCACTGAGGCCTCTCCTTCTGGACTGGACGAGGCATGCATAACTTCAAGGAAGGAGCTCCATCAATGATCCTAACGTCTTTTTTGTCTGTTCATTCTTCAACATGGGCTAATGGGTCATCTTAATACATTGGAGTAGTGAAGGGTTTGGGAGATGCAGAAGTAATCTTCTTACTGTATGTCTACTGTTGAGATGCATCTCTTTCTGTACTGATACACAGCATGAGCATGTCTTAATTTTTAAAAACCGGGGGGAGAGAAAATGAATTTAGTTGTACCTTTGAGACTGACTAATTTATTTTAGCATGAA